GGGAGCTGCCGTTGAGGAAGGGACAGCGAGTCAGCAGACAGACCAGAAATGCCTGGGGTTATGGAGGGGGCAGCCCGGGAGCGGGGGAGGGGCTCCGAAGGTGGGCCAGCAGCCCGCGGGGTGGGAGAAGGGGTCTGGTTGTGCCAGCCCCGAGGCCGTGTGAGGCCTGGGTGAAGACTGGGGAAGCTGACACTGTGCTCTCCGGGCTGAGCGAGCGGCTGTGGCGAAGGCACGGAGCCACTCACCTCCAGGTGGGGTCCCCACAGGGGGGGACGGGACACAGGGAGGGGCCTGTGCCCGGAGGTGGGTGGGAAGTGTGCCAGGGTCCTGGCGGCTCCGGAGGAGGCGCGCCCTCCCCGGCGTGACTGGGCATGGCAAGGCGACCAGCCATCTGCAGGGGCCACACCCACCCACCCTGCCGGGGGGTCTCTAGGGCCGCCCCACACAGGAGCTGTGAGACGAGGACACCGGGGTGCAAAGTGGGCTGCAATGTGAACGCTGCCCTGTTGCCCCTGCCAGGGTCACATGGGCAGGGTCTCACAGTGGCAGGTGAGGCTGAGCGCCTCTCTCGGGGGTGGCACCCAGGCCCTGTGCAGGGGTGGGGCCTTGGGGTGCCCACGCTGGCCGCCGTGTGGGGCAGGGAGCCTCTTTAGGCCAGGCAGGGGAGGGCTGGCGAGAGGGGTGGGCTGCATCCTTAGGTGAGGGGCCAGGAACTCCGGGGTGGACGGGCCCGTGCATCTGCCTTCTGGAGTTTTTCTCAAGCTATGGAAAGGAGGAAACTTGTCAACCATTGATGAACTGAAGTGTGAATCCTGAAACGCCTCCGCTGTTTGTGGTCGGAGGGGGGCTCAGGAAGGCAGCACCGCCCACCCTAGGCGCCCCTGCCCTCCCCTCGGGCCGCCTGGGACCTCATGCCGGAGGACAGGAGCCCTCGGTCTGGAGCCCCTCCCAGCCGCCCCCCTCCCACCCACGGGCAGCTCTCTACTGTCTACTGACAGAGCCCTGTCCCGTCCAGGGCTCTGCACCAGGTGCCACCCTGGCTCTGCGTGTCCTCAGCTCTGCTCCAGATGCTCGGCCTTTAGTCCATGGGAGATGTCACCCAGCTCGGGAATGTCTGCTGGAGTCGGAGACACCAGGCCTGGGAGAGGAAGGCCCCGGGGTGCTGCGGCGCCGGCGGGGCACCTGGGGACGGTGGGCATTGGGAGTTCTCCGTGGGCACCGCTTGAGCACCGCAGGTCCCGGAGGAGAAACCCCACCCTGCACAGTTCAGCCACATCATCCTCAGAAGCCCTGGCCCCCCGTCCGGCAGCCCTGCGTGCCCGCCTCTCCCTACAGGTCCCTCAATTCCCTCTGGTGGAGGGCACAGGAGGGGCCCGACTGCCTCCACCTCCGCCCTGGGCAGCCCAGAGAAGCCCCTGGGTGTTTCCCAGAGCCCAGCACACGCCGTCCTCTGCCGGAGCCAAGGAAGAGGCCCTGGGGCAGCCACACGGAGAGTCAGTTCCTGTTGAGGGTCAGGTGGGCTGCGGGGCGCCGGCCTCGGGATGTGCTGGCCGTAGCTGTGTCAGGGGTTTGGCCACGTATGTGGCCCCACTTGTCCACCCACTGGCCTGTCTCTGGGCTTGGCTGTGGGCTGGGCACCGCCCTGCCAGTGGGGACACAGGGGGTGACACTCTGCTGAGCAGGGCTGTGCTGTTGACTTGGAGTTTTCAGGGGGTCAGGGTGAGGTTCTAGATGGCTCTGTCTCAGAGGATGAGGTTGGTTTTGTTGGAGAGGATCCGCTTCCACGTGGAGGAGATCGCACAGTGTAGAAGTGGGCCGCCGAGGTCCTGCCAGACCGGACGCTCGGCCAGGGCACCCGCCCGGCCCCTCCTTGCTCCTTGCTCCCTGGGGAAATGGCTTGACTGGGCCCAGGAAGGGCCAGCGAGCGTGAACCGGAGGCCACGAGGTGAGGAGGGGCAGCGGCTGAGCGGCGTGAGCCAGGCCTGAGGGGAGCTGCAGGCACCGAGGAGGCCAGGCCCCGTGGGTCCAGGACTTCAGACCCGCCGTGAGTGGGAGCCTGCAGTTTGTCCCGGGGAAGGACTTCGGCAAGTCCCGGTGTGTGGCACTTCCCTGGGAGACTGTCATATACCAGGATTCACTGAAGTTCCCAGTCTCTCACTCAGGGAAGTGCCACACACCGGGGGTTCAAACAGCAGAGACTTGCCTCTCAGGCCCCTTGGGAGGTTGCAGGGGCCAGTCCTTCCTTCCCGGACTCTTCCGGGCTCTGGTGCTGCATGCCCTGGTCCCTGCCTCACGTTGCCTTCTCCTCTGCACCTCTTCTCGGTGTCTTCTTTAAGTGTATTTATTTATTTTTAGTGAGAGAGAGAGGGAGAAAGCGGGAGAGGAACACCAGCGTGAGAAACATCAGTGTGTGGTTGTCTCTTGCGCGCCCCCTACTGGGGACCTGGCCTGCAACTGCGTCACATGCCCTAACTGGGAATGGAACCTGTGATCCTTTGAACTGGTGACCTTAATCCACTGAGCCACACCAGCCAGGGCCTCACTCTCCCTTCTTATAAGGACACTTGTCCCTGGAGTTAGCGCCCATCTGGCTAATCCAGGGCCAGAGCCCTGACTTAATGACACTTGCAGACTCGGTGCGGCTGTGACGGGACCAGCTGGGCGCCCGCCTTGCCCCTGAGCAGGCTGGGCCCTGGGAGCCCAGCGTGAGAGCTCTCCTCTCTTTTCTTCCAGGGCCCGTGGCCTCTGCCCAACCCTGCTGGCTGGCTCCCGCCCGCATGGGTAGGTGCCTTGCATCTGGCACAGGGGGGTGGTTCCCTGGCACTTAGCCCCCACCCTGGGGAGAGGGGAGGGCGAAGTGGAAATGCAGGGCTGCCCAATGCGGGGACCCAGTGACACTTCCGTCCCACGCATCTTACTGCTTGGATGCTGCTGTGGGGTAATCGCCATGGTTACTTCCAGTGTAAAAGGTTGTGGAGCTGCCATTATTGGCAGGCTGGGGGACGTGACTGTCCCTGAGTTTTCGGAGCATGCGTGGTAGCCGGGCCTCGCCGCAGGGGTGACTGCTGCCTGCGCAGAGGGGAGGGCAGTGCAGACCCAGGCCCAGAGGGGCAGCCCTGACTCCTGCCCTTGGCCTCCCCAAGGGCAGCCAAGTGCGGGGAAGGGACCGCCGGGGCGCTGGCCCCGTAGGGACCGCTGTTCCTCTGCTGGGGCTGTGACTCCCCCGTAGCATCACAGGGCTGGGTAGGGGCCAATGGGCGTGGCCTTCTGCATTTATAAGCTTGGGGACCCTTAGGGGGACAGGGCAGAGGAAGCTCTGCTGTGGTGGGACCTCAGGTCTCCTCCTCCATCCTCCCTGCGCCCAGTGAGGGCTGTGGCCCCGGCAGGGCCATTGGCTCTGGGCTCTTCCCTGGGCAGGTTCTCCCCGCCGACAGATGCACCCCAGCTCTCCTCCCCGCCCCCGGCCGCCTCCGCTGCTTTGTCACCTGTGGACTCCTCCCGGCCCTGAGACGTCGCTCACTCTGAGCCCTTGCTCTGCCTTCGAGTTCCCCCACCACCCTGTCAAAGCGAACTCCCCCTCCGTCACACCTGGGCACTGCCCGATCCGGGGCTTGTTGGGCCTAGCACCTCCTGTGGGCCCACAGCCCCTTGAAGCCCCGCTCAGCCCCAGAGCTGCCCCTCGGGCTGACCCCTCTGGCCCTTAGCCCAGCGGCTCCTCTCCTGCTACTTTTACCTCAGTGCCCAGCACCCATTTCACAGATGAAGAAACTAAGGCTCAGAGAGGCTTAGTCAGAAACTTGAGGGCACACAGTTGGCAAAGGATGGCGGCGGGCTGGGTGCCCAGCTGGGCTGCACCCTGGCAGCTTGGAAAGGGGAAGGAAAACGGGGAGGGGCCCCACTTAACCCTCCCCTCGCCACCACCTGTCTGTCTCATCATGGGCAACTCTCCGCTGGAGGAACAGCCCGTCCTCGGCCACTGGAGGACTTGCAGGCTGGCACCGGCTGGGGGAGGCTGAGGCAGTGGTGCCCGCCCTGTGGATAGTTCCGCACCCTCAGGATGCCCGTGGCCCCGAGCCGGCCCCTGGCTGGCCTTGGCGGAGGCCTGGGGCTGTGCACACACTGGCAGGTGGTGGCGGGGGCTGTGCCTTGGGAAACCTGGTGGGCAAGGTAAGGCCTTTGCAACTCCGGGACACCCGTGGCCGGTCACCCTCACTCCGGGAGGGTGGCCCCAGGGTGCTCTTTGGCTGGTCTTGTCCTCCCCGGGACGGGTGCGACTTGAGACCCAGCCAGGTTCAGGGGAGGAGGGGCAGGGGGTGTGGGGCCTCAGCGCTGAAAGGCCTGAACTTGACCCCTTGCTCCCCAGCTCCCTGGCTGTGGTGGGGCAGAGCCCAGGGGCAGGCCGGGAGCAGCGGGGGCACGTTCGCCACGCAGGCCGCCCGGGGAGCCAGCAGGGGCAGCGTTTGTAGAGCCGGTGGAGTGGCCGTCCCTGGAGAGTGTCAGCCACTTCCACCCGAGGCTGTGCCTGGGGTCGTGGGAAGGGTCGTGCTTGGGCTCCGGTTTAGAGCCAGTGTCTGGGTCCTGTGGTGTCGAAGGGCTGAGAGGGGCCACCTTGCCACCCAGAAGGTTCAGGTGCCAGGGGCACAGCCCCCGTGCGGGGTGTCACTGCCGGCTTCTTCCCAAGCCCAGGTGTCCCCGGGGCCAAGGAGGATGAGGTGAGGCCCTGGACTGTGGGGGTTTTGGTGGTTTGCTGGGGAGAAGCCAGGTCTGCAGAGGTGACTGGGGACCCGCGGGGAGCTTCTTCCCAGGGGACACAGCTGGCCTCCCCCAGGGGCCTGTAGAGCTGTGGTCTCTGACCACAGGGGCCACTAAACCCCGTGGGCTGAATAACACCCAGGGGCCTCAGAGCTCACTGGGTGGAAGGCAGGAAGCGTCACCGCTTGGGGCTGACCGGCAACAGGAAGTGCCACGGCTGGGGGCTGGTGAGAAGCCCTGGCGGCGGCAGGCCTCAGACGCAGCAGGCGGCGCTTCGGGCAGCACGGGGGCGGCGGCCCTCACCAGCTTGGGGGATGCAGGCCGAGGTTCTGCGCCGTGGCCCCTGAGCCACATGGCCTCTCTGGGCCTCAGGACACCTGCCCCCCACCCGTCACCAGGCAGAAGGAGAGCCATGTGCTGGGTCAGCGCCATCAGGTCAGTGGGCGCGGCCCTGGGGACGGGCCCTCGGGATGCGGTGCCGGCCGGTGCCTGCAGGACCACTTGGGGAGGCCCGTGAGGGAGCCAGGGGCCTACACCGGGCAGCGGGGCAGGGCAGCGGGCAGGGAGGCGGGGGCAGCCTGCTGGGTGGGGGCGCAGGTCGGGCAGAGTCTGCCCATGGTCCTCCGTGCTGCGGTGACCTTGGCGTTTGGGTTCCGTGTGCACACACCTTGTGTGTGAGGGAGTGCGGCGTGAGAGACTGTGCCCGTGAGTGGGGGTGAGTGTGAGTGAGTGTGAGTGTGTGTGTATGAACGAGTGTATGAGCGTGAAGGGTGTGTGAGTGTCTGCGCCTGCGGTGTGGACGAGTGTGTGTACGTGTCCTGGCACCGAGGGTCCAGGCGGCGCTGTGCTTGGGGGGTCAGGCGCCTGCCGGCTGGGGCTCTGCTCGTGAAGCCAGGGCGCTGCCCTCCCTCTGGCATGGCTGGTCACCCGCCTCCATAGAAGTTTTTTGGTTTTGATTCTTTTATGGAGAAGGGTTCTGGGAAGAGGAAGAACAAGGGGAAACCGAAAGTCAAGACCAAGTGAGCCAGGTGGGAGGCGCTGGGGCCCCTCCCAGCAGCTGTCATCCCTCTGCCCCCTGGGCCCCCCCCACCAGGCGGGGGGTGTGTGGCTGTGCCGGAGGGTGTGGGGCACCACACTATCACCAGCTGTGTGGCTTCGGGCGAGTTACTCAGCTTCTCTGGTGTCTTTGTCAGTGACGTGGGGCTGACGCTGATTGACACGAAGTGCCCCTCCCCCGGGTGCCTGAGCCCCTCCCCGCGTCCCGGCCTGTAAGACCAGAGGGAGGCCTGGAGCCTGTGTGCGTGGTGGCTGCCAGGCTGGCCTTGGCACTGGGTGGCTCGGGGCTGAGGTGGCGGCGATGGCTCTGACCAGGGCCCATGCTCGTACCCAGGGCACAGGGCCTCTGCCGAGGCTCCTGGCCGCCCCTGGAGGCTGTGTGCACGCGTGAGAACAAGTGGACAAGTGTGTGCGTCCAGATGAGTGCAAGTGAGTGTGAGAATGAGGTGTGTGTGCATACGTGGTCAAATGAGGGCACAATGGTGTGTGCATGGACAAGTACCTGCGTACGCGTGTGTGCACGCGTGTGGGTGCGCGCGTGTGTGCGTGCTCCCTCACCCTGTGGCTCCTGCCTGCCGGGTCCCCACTGACAGGGACTTTCTGACACTGTGGTCGAGGGAGCTGCCCGCTGCCTCGCCACAGCCAGGGCCGTGCCTGCAGCTGTCCCGTGGGGGCCCGGCCCCGCAGGGCCCCCCACTTCACTCTCACGCCCAGGCTCACACCCTTCCACACGTGTGCACACACAGCTCTCACACGTCCCGTGGCACACTGCGACCGAGACGCTGACCGCTGTTGCCGGGGTGAGCCTACAGCTTACGTGTGGGCCAGGAGCCCCCCTCCGGGCCGAGGCCCCACAGCCGGTGTGGCCTGCACTTCCCGGAACACGAAGGGGCTGGCTGTCACTGTGGCAGAGAGCCGCTTCCGCCGCTCTGTCCCCACCCTGCACCTCAGTCTCTGGTCACCTAGACCAGCCTCAACTCTGACAGGGACTGTGGGGTGGGCCCGAGGTGCCTGCCCCCCTGAGCACACAGGCGCCTGCCGGAAGGGCTGCTGGAGCTCCCACGTGGCCACCGGTGCTGGCCTGCGTGTCCCCGGCCCCTGCCCAGGCAGCCCCCGAGCTGCAGGGAGCGGAGCTTCCGCAGCACGGCAGGCTGGCAGCCGGTGCTGACGCTGTGGCTGGCTTCCTGGGCAGCCCCAGTCCCTGGGGGGGGACAGACTTGTCACTGTGCTGCTGGGGGCACCCTGGTGAGCGGCCTTAAGATGCCCCCTTTTAAACGGGACCAGGCAGAGGCTCAGAGGAGAACAGGCCTGGTGGCCTTTGAACCCAGATCCCTGCACTGTCCCTGACAGCTCCCAGCCAGGGGGGCTCAGCAGGCAGCTCTAGCAGCTTGCGGGTGGGGGGTTGGGGTGTCTCCCTGAGAGAAGGGGGCTGAGACTCCCTGCGGTGAGCTGACAGGATGATCTGTGGGGGCCACTGGGGACAGTGGACCTTAAACATCAGGTCACTGGGGCTGGGGTGACACCCGGGGCTTTGAGAGCAACAGCCAGGGAGGCCGGGTGCCCCTTGGGGACTCCCCTCAACTTTCCTGGGCACTGATGCAGCAGGAGCCTGGAAGTCCCCCAAAGCTGCGTGGTCACTGTGACTGCCACGTCCCCTCATCACTGTCACCCTCAGCCACCATTTCCCCTTTCCACTTCAACCTGGCCGGGCACCGGGCTTCTGGTCGGGTGCCAGCCCACCCAGCTCACCCCCTGGGGCAGGGCACGCCGGTGGTGGCCGGATGGTGTTGGGGCGTCAGGGTGGGCTCCCTTTTGGACGGTCCGCCCTGCGGAGAGGGACTGCAGATGTTGGATTCTGTCCCTAAAGTGAGGACATTGCTGGGGAGGGGAAGGTGGCGCACGGCCCCGCCCTGTCATGACCCACCCCGCCTGTCGAAGCTCAGTCGGGGGCCACCCGGAGCCCTCGTCGTGCCCATGGAAGGACGGTGGCCGGGTGAGAATGGGGGCCCTCACAGGCCTGGCCACCAAACCTCCCCCGGGGGTGGGTCCAGGAGTGTGGCCTCTGCCTGCCCTCACAGAGCTGCTCCTGCCCTTCACACATGTCCGCTGTGCTTTCTGACTGGGGGGGATGCGGCCCACTGGCGTGGGGGCTCCGTGCGGCTCCCTGCTGTCCCCGCCACCCGCAGGGTCCGAGTACCACACCTCCTCAGGGGCTCCCTTGGGGGCCCCTCTGTGGTGGGCCTGAGCTGGCGAGGGTTGGGGGACAGTGACAGCCGGCTGTGCTCAGTGTTTGGGGGGACACAGGGCCCCCAGAGGTCGGGGAAGAAGGCCCGAAGGGGGGGACCCTCAATCTCACTCTTGTCTCGTTTTCGGAGTGGTCCTTGCTCGCGTGCAGGAATGCGACCGCTCTCTGCACACTGACTGATCTTGTGCCCTGCCCTGCAGCAGGCTCACTGGTCGGTTCCGATCACTTTTAGTGGGTTCCTGGCATGTTCTGTATACACGGCCATCTAATCTGCAAAGTTGACCCTCTTCCCTTCCCATCCGGACACCTTTCCTCTTTCTTGCCTAACTGCACCCGCTGGTCCCTCCGGGACCATGTTGAGTGGCAGTGAAGAGAGGGATGGCCTGCCTCGCCCCGGCCTCCAGCCAAGCGTCCAGTCCTCCCCAGGGCGTGCGAGCGCGCCCTGGGCTTTCACCAGCCGCCCTTTACCAGGGCGAGGCAGCTTCCCCCTTCCGTGAGTGGCGTCCTTATCGTGAAGGATTGTTGTGTTCAGTCAAATGCCTTTTTCTGCTGAGGCTATCACATGGCTTTTGTCCTTTATGGGACTGACACAATGTTTCACACGCCCGGACCCCACCGGCTGGAGCAGAGCCCGCTCCCTAGTACTGCGTTCGGCGCGGAGTGCATTCCCAGGTCCAGAGGGATGGCGGCCCGCGCGTCTCTCGTCCAGCGATGCCTATGGTTTTGGTGTCAGGGTGATGCTGGCCGCGTAGAGAGTTTCTTCCTGTCCCGGTTTTGCAAGAGTTTGTGAAGGACTCGCGTCTATTGGAGCCAACTCTTGAGGGATGGTACCGGGGGCGGGGCTTCTCACCTGCACGCAGAGGGGGCGGGGCTCCTCACCTGCCCCGGGCGGTGGGGGCGGGGCGTGGCGGGGGCGGGGCTCGGGCGGGTTCGCAGCGGCATGGCTGGTGAGGGGCACCGGCCTCGGGGCTGGGGTCGGCTGGAGGCGGGCTCCGGGGGCGAGGCGGCGGGGTCGCCGGGCCGAGGGCCCTGTCGCTGCGCGCAGGGCCGGCGGGCCGACCCCCGGAAGCTGGCCGTGCCTGCCGCGTGGCCGCCGTGAGTACCAAGCCCGGACCCGGGTCAGCGCTTTCTGCGAGAACAAAGGCGGGCGTCGGCCGGCCGGGGCAGCGGGTGGGTCGGGGGCTCCCGCAGGGGCACGCGCCGGTCTGTCTTTCTGCAGCACCTACCGGTGTGCGAGCGTGGGCGAGGGCCCCTCTCGGGCCGGGCCGGGCCGGGCCGGGCCGGGCGGCGCGGGTTGGGGGCCGTGCTTTGTTCGCAGCCTTGGCTGTTAGTGAAACTCTGGCCAGAGGGGTGGCTTTGTGTGCCGGGGAAGGTGGGAAGGAGCGAGGCTGGGCAGAGGCCGAGGGCAGCCCGGGCCCGCGGGCCGTGAACAGTTGGTGGACGGTGCCGTTTTCCCTAGAGCAGAGTGGTTTTGGGGGATGGCGCGGAAGTGGCAGGAGTCCCAGCAGGCCTGGGCCTCTGGGTCTGCTGTCACCTGCACCCCTGAGGGCTCTACCACGGACCACACACCTCCTCCCACTCCGGGGAGCCGGGGGAACGACTGGGCCTGGGTTGGGTGGGTGCAGGCACAGACAGAACAGTGCAGGGTTGGGGGGTGCTGTTCAGAGAGGCAGGGGAGGGGGGAGCCCTCTGTGACGGTGCATTGAGATGCCTCACAGGTGGGGGGACTCGGAATCTGGGTCTGGAAGGGTGAGTAGGAGTTCTCCACCCGAGCAGGGGTGGCAGCGAGGCCAGGAGTGTGCAGCAGCCTGGCCGTGAGGAAGAGGCTGGGTGGAGAAGGCTTGGTCCTGTGGGCCTGAGCCAACCAGAGACTGTCAGACTGTCCCGGATGACACGTGCAGTGAGGTCCCTGCCCGAGTCATGCCCAGGCCGATGGGGGGGTGGTGGTCATGCATGGGCACTGCGATGAGGGTGTGCCACGCCGTGTCTGCACTGCCCTGCCACTTCACAGCCCCCGCAGCTGTGGCTTAGGGACCCCCCAGAAGGCCAAGCCAGGTCATCTGACCCAGGAGCTGGGGCTGCCTAGGGGTGCCTGCTTCCCTGCTTTCCTGTCTCAGGGTCTTGAGAGAGGGATGGAGTGGCCCTAGCCAGGTAGTGCAGCTGGTTAGAACGTCTAAATGTGCTCAAGTTGCTGGTTCAATCCCCAGTAAGAGCACATACAAGACTCAACCAATGAATGCATAAATAAGTGGAACAACATATTGACGTTACCCTCTCTCCCTCTCTCGGAAAAAAAAAAAAAGGAAAAGAAAAGAAAAGGAAGGATAGAAGCCAGCTAAGGGTTTCTTCGGGAGTGGAGGCTTGGATATCTAGGGGCCATGCCCTCCCTGCTGAAGCTCAGAGCTGGTAAAGAGGGTGCCCAGGGCCAGCCCCAGCCCCTGCCCCTCTTTAACTCTCTCCTTCAGGTTGCAGCTTTCATCTCCTCCTCCCGGAATCCCTCCCTGAATTTCCTATCTAGGGCAGGCCCTATTACAGGCTCACCTGGCACTCGGACTTGGGCTGGTTGTGGCCTAAGGCTGATTACCTAGGCCAGTAGTTTCCTGAGCGCGTTGACTGCTGGTGGTTCACCCACTGCTACAGCCCAGCCCCCGTGGGGTGTGAGCTCAGCGGGTGCATGCAAATGAGGCAGTGACAGTGAGGAACACACTGAGGTCTCAGGGTCTCTGGAAGTCGGGTATGTGGTCAGGTGGACCGGGCGACCTTGTCTCCCTGGGCTGGTACCTAGAAGCCTGGGGCCTTCACAGGGGCTTTCGCACCGATTGCCGCCTGGAACCCTTGTGATGTCTCCAGGGTCTCCGCAGTGTCCAGCTAAGTCATCTCCTGTCCCCCGCGCCTGGCTGAGACAGTTCCCCTTTTCTTGCAGCTTCATGGCGGCTGAGGAGATGCACTGGCCTGTGCCCATGAAGGCCATTGGTGCCCAGAACCTGCTCACCATGCCCGGGGGGGTAGCCAAGGCTGGCTACCTGCACAAGAAGGGGGGCACCCAGCTGCAGCTGCTCAAGTGTGAGTCCCCTGCAGTGGGGAACGTGATGGGGGGATGGGGGGGCAGAGCTGAGCCTCCTGTTACTGACATGGTGGGCCCTTCAGAGTTTTCCTTCTGACCCTGGTGGCCGCCACCCCCGGCAGACCTGAGGTGGGCCTCCTCAGATCTAGGAGAGGGTCCTGGGCCCTGTAGAGCCAGGGTGGGCCTCCATCTGGGGCACAGAGCTGAGCTCTTGCCTTCGCCAGGGGGCGTTCAGGGAGTGGGTTTGTCACAAGGTTCCAAATGGCCTCGTCTGCCAAGCCGAGGCCTTGCTTGCCCAGACGCTGGCGGTTAGAGAGCATCGGGCTCGGGCCGTGCCCCCAGCAGCCCCAGCAGCCCTAGCAGCCCTGTCTCTGCTCCGTGCTGCCTGGCCTCTGGGTACCGCCTGGCCTGGGCTCTTCCGACAGAGAGTCTCCAGGACGGCTGTCACGGACCTGTCCCCTGGCCTGGGTGGGGCCGTGGAGAGTGGGGGTTCTCAGTGAGATGCCCAGCCTTGGGGGTTGGCTCCACACTGGTGGCTCTTGTTGGCAAGCTCTCTGGGCTTAGGTACCCCTGTCCTCACGGTGCCAACTTGGGGTGGAGGGGACTTACCAGCTGCCACGCAGCACCCAGCGAGGTGGCTGTGGCTGCCCTGGGCCTCCGGCTCTTCCTAGAGCCAGCCTCTCAGCCCTTGTCACTGGGGGCCGTGGTAACTCCACACAGCCAGCCCCCCCCCCATTCCACCCCTGCTGGGGGCTGGCCATCATGCCCATGAACTTATCCGCATTTGACCCTATGGCAGTCAAATGACCTGGGGAGGGGCCAGCCCTGCCATTCAAAGGGTTTGAAGCCTGGTCCAGCCCCCCACAGCGGCCCCCTGCAGCTCACCCCACCCTTGCCCCACTGCCCGCAGGGCCCCTGCGCTTTGTCATCATCCACAAGCGATGCATCTACTACTTCAAGACCAGCACGTCCGCCTCCCCACAGGGTGCCTTCTCGCTGAACGGCTACAACCGGTGAGTGTCGCTCGCCTTTGCCTTGGCCCCCATGGCCAGCCGCTCCCCAGCCCCGCCCCCGGCAAAACACAGAGTTCTGGTTGGACCTGCCCCTTGTGCCACCCAGACTGCTGAGATGGCTCAAGTTCCCACCCCTGGGTGCCATGCGCAGCCTCACCCGCTGCCCCGTGGCGGCACCTGCCCCTCCTCACGGTCTAGCCCCAGGCCTTTGCCGAGGGCCTGGGGTGAGCTGGGGGCTTCCTGCAGTTCGTCAGCAGGCCCCTGGGGTCAGGACAGTCTGCTTTCCGGAGTCCCCATTCGGCCTTCTGCCCTGCGACGTCTGCGTTCCTCCTTGGCCCCTTGTCCACCTCAACCTCCCTCCAAGGGGCCAAGGCCAGGCCACCCTGGCTCCAGGGGGCTCCTGGGTGAGGGGCTACAAGTCTGCCCCCGAGGGGCTCCCGGCTCCTGGGCAGGCGGGCGCGGGCCCAGACTCTCTGTGAGGAGTGACAGGCTGCTGTGTGCGGCTGTCTGTCGGCTCCGTCCGGACCCACCTGAGCCCTCGGGGGCTGCAGGGCAGGGGAAGTGGGCCCCGGGGCTCTGCGTCCCGTGGCGTCAGCCTGTGCCTCTCGCCTTCCTAGAAGGGCCTGGCCCTCCTGCCTGGGGGCAACCGAGGGTCCCATGGTCTTGCTGGTGGGTCTGGGACTCCGGGAAGGGACTCTCAACCTCGGCTCCCACCCCCGCCACTGGCCCAGTGGGGGGTCCTGGCCCGCGACAGGCTGGCTGGGGCACTGCTGAGAGGGGCAGGAGGTTCCAGGGCCCTCCTGTGGCTGCTCCGAGGTTACCTGTGCAAGGGCGTTTCCCTTCCCCAGACTCACCACCCTCAGCCTGGTGGGGGTAGAGCCTTGCCCCAGGGGCTGGCTCAGGCCCTTTTATAGGCCACATGGGTACACCTGCCCAAGGTGCCTGCCCGGCAGGGCCCCCTCCCCCCACCAGACCCTGTGCAAACCCTGCATCGTGGCTGGGCCAGCAACCACAGTGAGTCGCTTCCTTGAAATGCTCTCAAGACAGTGGTGTGGGGAGTGCTGGCGGGTGTGGCTCATAGGTTGGTGTGTTGGCCTGTGCGCAGAAAGGTTGTGGGTTCGATTCCCACTCAGGGCACGTGCCTGGGTTGCGGGTTCCGTCCCCAGTGGGGAGGCAGCCAGTCCGTGTTTCTTTTTCACCTCTCTCTCCCTGTCCTCGCTCATTCCCCCTCTCTAAAAAGAAGTGAAAAGTAAAATATCCATATCTTAGAAAAGACAAGGCGGCAGGGGCAGGCAGGGCCGAGGCGGGAGGCAGCGAAGGGGAAGTGTCCTTGTCTCGGAGCCTCATGGGCCGCTGCTCCCAGGACGCCTGCCCGGGCCCCAGCCCTCCTCCGCCCCCCACTGCCCGCCTGGTCCCCAACGCTTCCCTCTGCCGGCAGCTGCCAGGCCTCTGCCGGTCCCTCCGGATTTGCCTGTGTCCCTGGGAGCCCAGAGCTGGGCGCTGTCCGGGGGCGGGCGGCCCCCATGGGCGTGGGTCCGTGGTGACCCCGGGGTCTGCGCCCTCAGGGTGATGCGGGCAGCCGAGGAGACGACGTCCCACAACGTCTTCCCCTTCAAGATCATCCACGTCAGCAAGAAGCATCGCACCTGGTTCTTCTCGGCCTCCTCCGAGGAAGAGCGCAAGGTGCGGGGGTGGGTGGGCGCGTGGGCGGACAGCCTGCCCCTCAGCGCCCTGTCCTCATTCTCAGAATAGCTGAGTGTGCTCCTGGGAGGTACCCTGAATGGGCTGAGGGGGCTGCGGCCCGAGGGGGCTGCGGCCCGAGGGGGCTACAGGATGGTCATCCTGACCTTGGCGGGCACTGCAGACCAGCGGGGCCAGGTTCCCCGGCCGCATGGTGCTGACCTTGGCTGTTGCTGACCCACAGAGCTGGATGGCCTTGCTGCGCAGGGAAATTGGCCACTTCCACGAGAAGAAGGAGGTGCCTCTGGACACCAGGTGGGCCTGGGGTGGGCGGGTGTCTCCAGGGCCCTGGGCTTGGCCTAGGCCCGCACCTCCAGGAGCTCGGCTCAGAAGCCCCTCCTCGAAGGTTCTCCTGGGGGCCACGTGTGTGTCCCCCTGGCTGATGCTGTGAGTGTGTGGACCCGAGTGTGTAAGCCTGTGTGTACGTGCCCAAGTGTGTGTTTGTGTGTGCCTATTTAGGGGTCACACGCTTTCACCTGCCCACCCTGGAGGCCCAGCATTTGCAGCAGCTCAGATCTTTGGGCATCGCCCGCCCCTTGTCCACCCTGGCCGGCTCAGGAGTGATGCCAGAGCGAGTCCCTCTGGGCCTCAGTGATTTTGCCGTGAGGTGGCCCGGCCAGCAGCAGGAGCCCTCTGGGCAGACCAGAAACACCCGTCCTTTCATCGATGCGGAAGCTGAGGCCGTGGGAGGTCTGGCTCCCAAAAGGCCGCCCTGCGGGTCCCTACCTGCCCCCAGAGCCGCTGGCCCTCAGTCCCAGCGGCTGTCCTTCCGTAGGCCGGGCCTGGAGATGACTGAACAAGCCCCTGGGGAAGGAGTGGGTGGGGACGAGGACCCTGAGGTCTGGCATCATCTGACCAGCTGGGGGCCACACTTGTGGCAAGAACCACGGGGTGGGGGCCACTGCAGCCTCCTGTTCCCGTGTTGGCCCGTGTAACCTCACACGGAGCACGTCTGCCTGGCTCTGTCTGCACACCTGCCTGGCCTCGTCTGTGCTTCCAGGTCTGTGTGTGCCCTTGTGTTTGTGCGTACATCCACATCTGTGCACGCATGCCTGTGTTTGTCCGTGTCTGCGTGTGCAAGCGTGTCCGGATGGGTGAGTGTAGAGGGACCCCTGCCCTGCGCTCACTGCCCACCCCGCCGGCCCCTCCCCACCAGCCTCAGTGACTCCAGCTCGGACTCGGACAGTTTCTATGGCGCCGTCGAGCGGCCTGTGGACATCAGCATCTCTCCGTACCCCACGGACAGCGAAGGTGAGGCGCCGTGCCCTCGCCACCTCTCCACACCTGGCTCCTGCCGCCCCGGGGTGCTCCGTCCCCGGGCGTCCCCTGCAGCCTGCCTACGCGGCCCTCACCCCAGCCCCAGGCCTCCCTGGGTGCAGCTGGGCCCCCCTGACCTGACCCCGTCGCCCACAGACTACGAGCATGACGACGACGACGACTCCTACTTGGAGCCCGACTCCCCCGAGTCCTGGAAGCCCGAGGGTAGGTGTCCGGCTGGTGGGCCCGGGGCGCTCTGCGGCAGAGGGCAGGGGCTGGGCCCCGGGCAGTGGTCTGGGCGGCCTCGGGCCTGACAGGCTCCACCCTGTGCCTCTGTGTCCCTCTTGTGTCCCTGAGTGTCAGAGTGGTGGGAGGAACGGAGCAGAAGAGGCCACGCTGGCCGCTCTGTCCCCTCTTCTCCGGGTTGGGGAGCACACTGGGGTGCTGAGGCAGTGCTGGGCCGGGGTGGGCAAGGCCAGAGCAGAGTCCACTCCCTATGACTGACAGCTCTCTGGAGCTCTGTAGGCCAGTCACGGCCCACCCCACCTCCCAAAGCACATGGCTTGGCAGACGACCCAGGCGCAGGCCAGAAATCGCACACGCACGTCACCAGGAAGCACGGCTGTGTGGGGCAGGGCTGTGCCTCTGTCCTGGCATCCAGCCCCCTCTCTCCGCCTACTCGTACTGCCCGCCCCATCTCCCATTATCCCTTGCACCCCCTGCAAGCTCCGCCCCCAGCCTGGGCTCCCCTCATGCTGATGCCCAGATTTTTCCGTTATCCCTGGGGGCTTGGGACAGCCCCCCACGCCCCGGCCTCCCTCTTCCTTGACCTCTTCTCCAGTGTCCTTGCCTTCTGCCTACTCAAGCCCCGACTCCTGGGTCCTCTCAGCTCCACTCCACTCTCCTGTGGTCCTGGGGCCAGTCCCCTCCCCCAGCCGGCTCCCTCTTGCTGGGCCCAGCCACCGGTACCTGTGAGCCTCCCCTGTCCCCGCGCAGAGAGCCCCCTTACAGGCCAGTGACCCAGCGCCGGTCCGGAACTGCAGCTCAGGGTGCTGGGGACGCGCACCTGGCCCTCCCTCCTCCTTCCCAGCTGGAGCCTCAGAGCCCTGTGCTTCTGCAAGTCTGTGCACCCGAGCTCACCCCCTCGGACCATCTGGATGGCCATTCCCATCCGGCTTCCCCTCCTTTCCCCAAAACCTCTCTTATTAGGGTTGCCAGGGGCCTTGGGTTTCCAGACACAGCGCTCAGCTCCCAAGAGCCACAGCGGTGCCTCCCTCCCTGCTCCTTACCTGTCTCCCTCAGCACGGAGCGCCTTGTGTTCTGGGTCCCCTCTCACTTCAGTGTCAGCCCTGGGCCAGCCCCTCAGTGCCCATCCCAAGGACCCAGGGCCACCCCGGGGCTCGGGTCTCATGCCCTCCTCTCCTGTCACTCCGGGGCCACAGCTAGTGCCACCAGTGGGCGGTGGACCCCATTACTGCCTGCAGCCAGGACTCCTCCTCTGAATGTCATGTCTGCCCTGACAGCCCTGTCGATGTCCCCTGGACATCTCACAGCATCTTAAGCGTGTCAAGGGGAAACACCACCTCGTCCTCCTTCCAGCCTGCCCCCACCACCCCGTGCTCTCTCTAGTAGGAGTTCCAGCCTCCTCGCTGAGGCCAGACCCCTGGAGGGCCCCTGGCCGGAGGGTCCCTGGTGGGACACCCGGGTTTTAGGCAGCTTGCTCAGGCTGCTGTGTGCGGGACGGGCGGATGAGCCTGGCAGCCTGGGAGGAAGGCCAGGCCGTCGGGTGGGGGCTTCCGGGGGACATCCATCCACTCGACTCCGGCCATCTGTTAGGAGCAGAGGTGGGGCTGGGCCGGCCTCCGTCCGGCGACGCCTGCTCACCAGCAGGGCCTCTTCATTCCACAGACGCCCTGACGCACCCGCCAGCCTACCCTCCGCCTCCCGTGCCCGCGGCCAGGAAGCCGGCCTTCGATGTGCTCCGGGCCCACTCCTTCACCTCCAGGGGCCCGGGCCCTCTGGTGCCACCCCCACCCCCTAAGCGAGGCCTCCCGGATACTGGCCTGGCTCCTGAGGACTCCAAGAGGGAGCTGCTGGGCCTGAGGTGGGCGGACCCTGACCCTAGGCTGCCTGCGGTCCCCAGGAGGATGAGCGACCCCCCACTGGGCAGCCTGCCCCACCTGCCCAACCCTCGGAAACCCCCCTGCTTCCCCGAGAGTGGCATCCCTGGCCCGGAGTCCCGGGTCCCCAGCCCCGGAGCCGCCTCCAGGAACTGTGACCAACTCAAGACCTTCCACCTGTGCCCCCGGGGGCCGTCCGCACCTGAGCCTCCGCCTGTGCCAGCCAACAAGCCCAAGCTCCTGATGGTGGCGGAAGAGGGCCCCCTGCGGGGGGTGGCCAAGGCCGGGCACCTCGTGCTCCCCGTGGCCCCCAGGCCGCCTGTGCTGAAGCTGCCCGTGCCCGAGGCCCCAGCCCGGCCCGCGGCCCTGCCCAGGCCGGAGCAGCCACCCCACCCTCACCTCCAGTGAGTCCGCTGCCCCGGGACCCCTCCCAACCCGGCCAGCTCCCCCCGGCCTCCCCGCCTCCTGGCCCTGGGTGTTCAGCCTATGGTGGGGGCCGCCAGCCCTGCTCTGACCCGGTAGAAGGCTCTGCCTGGGCCTGCTCTGTGCCTGACTGAGGGTCCTGAGGACGTCCAGCCCTGCCCTCGAGGTGTCCTGCCCATGGGGGGGTGGGCCTGGAGCCTGTGGCTGCCTCGGGGGGCCTTGGCAAGGTGGACTTGGGGGAGACAGGCTTCCAGAGCTCCTGCTGGGCCGAGAGAGGGCCTTTGGGGTCAGGGAAGGACCTGCAGACTGACCTGACCCGGGGAGAGGCCTTGTGGGAAGGGAGCCTTTGGACCCCGCCTGGGGCTCTGCGCTGGTCCCTGGCGCTGCAGCCGTCAGAGCTGCCTTTGTGCCCTCCCTGCTCTGGAGCTTGCCGGGATGTGGAGCGGCCGTGACTCACCCCTGAGGCCCGCTCAGAATGTTTTCTGCTTTATTGCTGTGTCAACAGTCTGTGGTCAGAGATGCCCTGGATCCACAGCGGGGAAGGTCCTGGGCGCCGCGGGGGTGGGCCTCATGTGGGTGTGCTGGATCGGGGCTCCCAGAACACGCCCCCACCATGGCCCCCTTCTCCCCAGGACTCTTGCTCACCCTGCGGCCTGCGGGAGGTGCCCGAGAGGACCCCCCGTCATGCTCACGCCTCTGTTTCATGAGGGGCCGCAGCGGTACGGCCGGGGTCACTTTGCCCTGACCTCGGCCTGGGTGCCGGGGCCCATTGCCCATAGCCCAGCAGCCGGTCCTGAGTGGCCTTATATTCTCCCCGTGACCACCCAGGTGTGGGGCGTGTCCCCAGGGCTCAGTCCTTTCAGTCATCCAGCCTCACTGCGGCCCTGGGAGGGGCGTGACTTGGCCATGCTCAAAAGTGGGTCCGTGGCAAAGTAGGGCTGAGACGCCTCCAGCCTGGCCTCGTCCCGCGGTGTCCAGAGCACTTGTCTGTGGTGTGATGACACCCCCCCCCGCCAAGGCCATTGCCAGCCCTGGCCCCAGCTCAGGCTTCCCTGTTCCAGGTGCTCCCCGCCTCCTCGGGGCGGCCGGCACAGGCAGCCGGGCCCCACGGCTCCAAGGCTGCGCTTGGCGTAGTCACCAGGGGGTGCACGATGGTGTGGAGGGGAACAGGGACACCGCCCACCGTGACAGCGGAGCGTGACTTTCTTCTTGCTCCCCTGCCAGGCGCTCTCCCCCTGATGGGCAGAGTTTCAGGAACTTCTCCTTTGAGAAAACCCATCTGCCCTCCCAGGACGACGCCCCGCAGGCTGACTCTGGCGGCAAGGACTCTGACGAGGACTATGAGAAGGCAAGGCGGCGCGGAGAGCCCGGGTCCCAGCCTCGGGTGGGTGGCTGTCGGGGCGGGGCTGCCGGCCGGGGTGCCCCACACTGGCCCGCTCAAGCCGGGAGCCCCCAGGACCCTGGAGTTGAGGGGATGGAACCCAGTGCACAGCCCGGGGCAGGCCGGCAGCCATTTGGGGGAGGGAAGGGGTGCCGGCTGCGTGCACCTTGGAGACCTTGCCGCTGACCACTGCTGACCTCTGTCCAGGTGCCACTGCCCAGCTCGGTCTTTGTCAACACCACAGAGTCCTACGAGGTGGAGAGGTTGGTCGGGGGCCCTTCTTTCTCCAAGGCTTTGTTTTCACAGACTTGAGGTTCCTTGTTGGGTTTTTTTGTTTTTAAGATTTTTGTTTATTTATTTAAAGAGAGAGGGGAAGGGAGGGAAAAAGAGAGGGAGGGAAACATTAAGGTATAGTTGTCTCTCACACGCCCGCTACTGGGGACCTTTCCCAAAACCCAGGCATGTGCCCTGACTGGGAATCAAACCAGCGGCCCTTTGGTTTGCCGTCCAGGACTCAGTCCACCGAGCCACACCAGCCAGAGCTCTTTCTGTTTTTGTTCTCCACTCGCTTTGGTGCCGGGTCATTGCTGGCACAAGTACACGGTCAAGTGTAGCTACAAACCGGAGGAACAACAGATGCCATCAGCTCAGTCCTGTCGCTGGCTGTCACCCTGTGGCGCAGAGCTCCGTGTGGGCTGGCCCTCCCGGCACCCAGTGCTCTTGGCGGCTGAGCTGCGAGATAGCAAGAGGACAAAAGCCACGCTGGGGACTAGGGCTAGAGGGTCCCCGAGAGACCTCTCTGAGGACGATTCACCTGCTGACTCTTGCAGGCTGTTCAAAACCACGAGCCCCCGGGGGGAGCCCCAGGATGGACTCTACTGCATCCGCAACTCGTCCACCAAGTCGGGGAAGGTAGGTGCCGAGGAGGGCGACCAGGTAGCCACCCTGCCAGGCAAAGGCCCCGGGATAGCTGCCTTGTGCCCAGCCTGCAGGCGAGCACATTGAAGGGGGGGCTGCCTGGGGCCGTGGGAATGGCAGGTCATCTGCTCGCTCTGCTTCTGCCCCTCCAAGGGTGGCGTGTAACCCCACTGAGCCTCATGTCCCCCGTGTATCAGCAGCGGTCCCAGGGTGGACCAGGACCCTGCTGCTGTCATTCAGGTCTCAGTAGAGGCCACCTGAGGCCACGGCCCGGGGACCAGGGCCGCCCTCCTGCACTCTGCCGTCTGTCTGTGTGCAGGGTGACCCTTCCCCACGCCGCCCCTGAGGGCCATGGGGCCCCGCCGTGGTGCCGGGCACCCCTGAGCCCCGAAGCCCGGCCGCCCTGCAACCACTGCTGCCTGCGGTTCTCCCTGCAGGTCTTGGTTGTGTGGGACGAAACCTCCAACAAAGTGAGGAACTACCGTGTCTTTGAGAAGGTGAGCAGCTGGCCCGGCGGCGGCCTGGGAAGGAGCGGACCTGGCCCAAGGGCAGGCCGGTCTCCTCACAGAGTGTGGGCAGGGGGTGGGCTGAGGCTGGCGCCTCTGGGCACTGTCCCTCCCTCACTTCCTCAGCCTCCCCTTCTTTACCAGGAGGGGGTGGGGCGATCTGTAGGTCAGTCCAGCTCTGGATCCTGGACTGACCTACAGACTGGCCTATGCCCCTGGGGCAGAGTGAGGAGGGAGGTGGGAATGAGGTGGGAGCTCGGGACAGCGGGAGCAGGCCCGCCACCCCGCTGTGCCCCTGACCGTGCCCCTGACCGTGCTCCCCCCCCAGGACTCTAAACTCTACTTGGAGGGCGAGGTCCTGTTCGCGAGCGTGGGCAGCCTGGTGGAGTACTACCACGCACACCCGCTGCCGGGCCACCAGAGTCTGCTGCTGCAGCGCCCCTACGGCTACGCTGGGCCCAGGTGACGCCAACACACCGCGGGCAGAGGTGGCCCCAAGGCCGCCGTCTCCAGCTGCACGGATGAGACAGGCCTGCAGGGCGGGAGGAGCTCTGAGCCGAGGCCTCTCTGACCGGACACCCGACTGCCAGGCCAGGCCCCGCCCAGCAGGCTGGGTCCTCGGGGCGTGGCTGGGCCTCAGGCTCCCAACGGCTCAGGGGCTCTCTGGTGTCCTGCGCCGCCCACCCCATTTCACCTCCCAGCAGCCCGGGGCCTCTAGACCGAGCTGGCCTGGGCTTCATGGACAGGAACTCTGGTCCCCACCCTGCCCAGGGCTGGGGGCTGGGGGCTGGGCAGGGAGGGCTGGGGCATTTGTGGTTGGGGCAGGGGTTGTCCCCAGGACCCCTAGGACCCCCAGGAACGCTAAGACTCGGGCTCCAGGAGGGGCCTTCGCTGCACAATAAAGCACAGACGACCTCTACCGTGGTGGCTGGGCTTTATCGGAAGGGGGGTGACCGGCCTCCCTGCGCGTCTGCGCTGACGTCCAAGCAGAGACCCCAACAGCTCAGCTGACAGGAGCCCTGAGAAGCGCCCTCCCCCCTCACAGGGCAGAGCTGGCTCAGTGACTTTCCCTGGGTGCAGGCTGGTGACAACAGGACGCATGCTAGAGCCCACCCTCCGAAGTGGCAGGTTCCATGGCCACAGGTCAGGCCCGGGGCACGGGGTGGCAGAGCTTAGAGCTCCCCACCGCACGCACAGTTGGATCGCACGCTACATTGGCCAGCGGCTGGTTCCTGGAGACTGTGGGCTTCAGGTGCTTACCACGCATGCTGTCTGGAGCAGTGGGGTGTGCGAGGCTCAGAGCTCGGAGCCACCAGTACAGGAAGTGGCCAGTACAGCCAGGGGCAGGAAGAGTGTGGGTCCTGAGTAGGCCAGGGGTGGGGGGATGGCGGCACCCACATGGCCCAGGTCCAGCCCCGACCCATCCCTCACTTCCTGCCATGGAGTCCCTCAGGCTTCCGTCCCTGGCACGGCCATTTGGGCTGTTTGTGTGTGAAACCAGCTGGGGGTCAGGCTGGTAGGGACCCCAGGGTCATCTAATCCTCGCAGCACTTATGTTGGGAAAAGGTATTTACTGTGTAAAACCCAAACCCACTCCCCCCTGGAGAAGGCCTTTTGGGCTTCTCTCCCCCGACCCAGGCATGTTGTGGGGTGGGCGGGGGTGGTTTGCTGGAGAAGGGGAGGGGATGAAGTGTCCCTGGGAGGCTGAGGGCTGCTGTGGGGATGAGGGCCATCTGCTTCCAGGAAGTCAGTGTAGCACTGTCTGCAGACGTTTCCTGTAAAGCCCACCTGGGCCCAGGCCCGGTGCAGTCGCCCTGGAGTCTGGGGCACCGGGAGCTTCCAGAGCCCTGCCCTGTGTCTGGAAAACCGCCAGTGCTTGTCCCTGCAGCTGCGGCGCTCAGCCTTCGCTCTGGGACCGGGGAGGCTCCACACTGTGGCTGCAGCTTTTCTTCCTGGAACTCTTTAAAACGGGGACTTGGATCAGAGAAGCAGGTTCCGCCCAGTAACCGGGCCCTCTGTGCTGGCGATGTGAGGCAGATTAGGACGCCGAGGCCTTTGGCTAACGCACGGCTGCTTTGCAGACAGCCGAGTGTGTGAAACATATTGGAAGACACCTGAGTTGGAAGGTTCAGAGGTTCTGGGACTGGGAGCCGTGTGATAGGTGCTTCTGAGGCCTGCGGCTGCCCAGGGCCCACCCCAGGGCCTGGCATGCCTCCCTCTGCCTGGGCCCTGGGCCTGCCTCTTTGTGAACTGCCCCTGGGATCAGGGCCTCAGTTGAAGGAGCGTGTGCATTGGGGGTGGTCGATGAGTCCCAGGCATGGTCCTCTACCACGAAGCGGGGGCCAGAGCGGCCCCACTCCCTCCTGAGGCCTGCCATGAGTGTTCTGTTCTTCATTTGGGGTTGGAGGGTGTGTGTCACTCAGTAAGCACTTCTCAAGGCACTAAACTGGTTCCATGAAACAGTTTGCTTGGAGAAGCCACTGCTATTAGTTCCATTTTACAGGTGAGAAGCTGAGGCCAAGGCCTGGATTCAAGTCCCAGCTCTGCCACTTACTGCCATGTGGTCTCCTTTCATCCTCCTCTGTCTCCTCCCAGACCCTGGCTCCTGCCTGGCTCTCCACCAGCCTCTGGCAGTTCCTGTCTGATGTCTAGTTAGTCTGTCTCCCAGGGTCCCAGGTGTGTTCCCACCCAGCTGAGGGACCGACCACAGCCCTGTGGGGGAAGCCAAAGTGACTTGCCTCCATCTTTGGGGATGAGCCAGCAGAAGCCCCGGGACCCGTGTCTTGTCTGCCTGCTCCCACTTCTCACAGACCTGAAAACAGGCTCCGAGAGGTCCCTGGCTGGCCCAGATCACTGTGCTGAGATGCGGTCCGTTCCTGGGCTCGAGGAGAGGCCCCCAGACGCTTTGGGAAGCTTCTCCCAGCCCAGGACATGATTTTCCTTCTGCAGTTGATCAGAAATCATGCAATGAAACTCGATACCCCCTGTTATTAGATTATTATTATTATTATAAAAATATGTTTTCAATGGCCCCGGCTGGTGTAGCTCAGTGGATTGAGTGTGAGCCTGTGAACCAGACAATCGCGGTTCAATTCCTAGTCAGGGCACATGCCTGGGTTGCAGGCCAGTTCCCTGCAGGCCAATTCCCAGCAGGGGACACACAAAAGGCAACCATACATTGATGTTTCTCTCCCTGTCTCCTTCCCTTCCCCTCTAAAGATAAAGAAATAAAATATCTTTTTAAAAAAAAGATGTTTTTAGAACCAGAAGAGGCCTCACAAAATGTCTGTAGTTGCTCCCTGACCCTACCCCTACTCTGGGTCACGCTGCATGGATGCCCCCTGCTGGCCCAAGAAGGAGCTTGCTGCCCCCCAGGTGGGGTGGGTGGCTCTGACCAGCCCCTGGGAAGAAAAGACCTGGGTCTGGGTCCAGGGGCTTCTTGCCCAGAGCCCTCTGGGATTGGTCTCTGGTGGGGAGACCTAGAGGGTCCAAGGCACACAAGGAATAAGGGGCAAAGCTGGCACTTGAACAAGTCTGTGTCTCTAGAGGGGGCGGTGAGGGGCAGGCCACAGCCCATCTCTGGCTGTGAGGAGTCTTCCAGCAGCATGGAGTCCTCTGAGGGCAGCTCCCCCACACACATCCAGCGCTGTCTCTGTGCCTGCAGGTCCTGCCCCTCCACCCAGAAAAGACTGCCTGATGGGTGTGCGAGGAACCGCTGTGGCACAGGGAGTCCCCAAGAACACAGGCACTGAGGTGCAGGTGCTCGTGACAATGGCAGGGGACGTGGGGGCTGGACCACCTGCCTCTGCACCTGTGTGAACTCTGTCCTGGGGCTGCCGTGTCCATATTGTGTTGTATCTGCCTGACTTCATGTCTTGGTCATCCCGCAGACCAAGCAATGGCCGTTTTGGCCTCGGTCACTTTTCACGTCCCATAGAAACATCCCATTTGTACCAGGGCCCAGGAGCAAGCCAGAGTAACTTTTTGAGTTACTTGGATCTGTGGCTTCCTAGTTTCCATCATATTTGGAAAAAAAACCCCAAACCTCAGCTATGATGTCTTCCTCCCACCCCTGCCTTCCTGCTCAGGGACTCGGATCACACCCACGTCAGGCCCCTGGGAGCTTCTGCTCACTCTCTTCTAGGCCCTTTTCTCTCCCGCTTCACTTGGTTTCTTCTCCGTAGCTTCTAGTTCACTTTTTTCTCCTGATGCGTCTAATCTGATGTTCATCCCATCTGCTGTCCTTTTCACCTTCAGAAGTTTGATTTGGTCTTTAAAAACTTTTTGGACAAATTTTTAGCCCTGGCTGGTGTGACTCAGCAGGTTGAGTGCTGGCCTGTGACCCCAAAGGTTGTGGGTTCGATTTCTGGTCAGGGCACATGCCTAGGCTGCAGACCAGGTCCCCAGCTGAGAGTGTTCCAGAGGCAACCCGTGGAAGTTTCCCTCTCAAGTTGATGTTTCCCTCTCTTTCACCCTCCCTCCCCCCCGTCTCTAGAGATGAATGAATAATATCTCAAAAATTTTTTCAACTACAGTTCACATACAGTATTAGGTAAGTTTCAGGTGTAAACAAAGTGATTAGACATTTGTATAACTTTTGAAGTGATCGCCCTGGTAAGTCTTGCACCATGTGCCACCACGCACAGTTACGACAGCATTCTGCAGTTGTTCCCTGCACGACGGTTCGCTTGGTTGTCTTCTGCCACTCCTGCCTCCCTTCGGTCAGTCAGCACGCCCTCACTGACCCTCCTGGTGGGCCAGGACCTGTTGCTGGGTGCCGGGAGACTGATGTGAGTGAGGCCGAGTTGCGGGGTCTTGTCCAGGAGACGGGCGGAACCAGACGTCACCGTTAGGCACGGACAATACCTCTGACCCTCCTGTGGCTAAAGCCAAAGAAGTCCCTGCCGGTCAGGGAGGCTTGGGTTCCTCCCTGTTTGCCACTGCCCAGCGCAGGACCTCATTCACTTTCCGTGGGTATAAAGTGAACAAAAATCCCATCTTCCCGGGCCTTTGGGGGGTTGAGATGGCACAACAGGAAGGGCAGAGTGGGGTAAGGTGCTGGTCTGGTCTCTAGGCTAGCCTCCAGGGTCATGGGCAGGTGACCTGGCCTGGCCAATTCCCGGGTCGAGAGGGCAACTGAGGCTCGTTCATCCAGCGTCTGCAGGACCGGCTCGGGCCCCTGGCTGCAGCCCCGCCTGTGCAGCCTTATCAGGCTCCACAGGCCTCGCTGTGCTGGCCACACCCTGGAGGTCCGCCTGGCGACGCGCCCGCCTGCTGGGGCTTTGGACCCAGGCCAGCCCAGGGCCGAGCACTCCGAATAGGGGTTCGTCTGCTGGAGGAGCGGGCGAGGCGGGCAGGGAGAGAGGTCCGGCTCCGGCCCTAGCAAACGGGATCGGCTGAGCATACCGAGAACTGGGCCCGCTGAAGGCCTCCGCCACAGTCTGCAGGCGACAACGACCCAGGGGAGGCGGCTCCGGGTGAGCGGGCGCCGCGGGCACAGCCCACCCGGCCTTCTTTAGCAACCAGGCCTGTGGAACATAGCCCGCTGTCCGCACGATACGTTCAGACGACCTGCGGCGCCAGACCCACAGCTGTCCGCGGGGAGGGCGGAGTCACGCGGAGTCCGGTCCCCCCCCAGCTCGGGCGGCAGCCCCGCCCTTCGCCGTCCAGGCCCCGCCCCAAATATTGTAACAGCCAATAGTAGAACGTGTTGCTTGGCGGTGAGACTCGAGCCGGACCTATGGAGTGGCGCGTTGTAGGCTTGCAGAGCTGCAGGCCGCACCCAACTTCAGCGGCTAGGGCAGCGCGGAGGACTGAAGGGGCGGAGAGGCCGGGCGGGCGGGAGGTGCGGACCTGGGGAGCGGGGCGGACAGGGGGCGGAGCCCGAGGCCGAGCTGGGGCTGGAGGCGACGGGCGGCGGTCGCACTCGGACTTGGGAATCCTGCTCGCTGCCCGCGTTTCGCCGGTGAGGTGAGGCCTGCGCGCAGCGGTGGTGGCAGTGGGCGCGGGGCTCCAGTCCGGGCCGCGGGGCCTGCAGCCCGCGGAGCCGGCGGGGTCGCTGGCGGGGCTGCGGGGCCCGCCCTGGGAAGGGGCCGCGGCCCGTCCGCCTGGACTCTGTACGGGAGCCCACGCCCTGCGAGCTTTTCGGCACGCTGGCCCCTGTGAGGACGCCGGGGTTCTCGCGGGGGCCGGGGGACCGTGAGGGGAGGCGGCTCCGGCTCTCACGCTCGGCCCGCGCGGTGCTGGCGAGCACCCCTCCGGGCACAGATGCAGACCGTCGCGGCCTCCGCATCCTGCCAGGCGGCCCCATTTTTACAACGACGGCTTCTGCGGAAAGGGAGAAGCCGGCCCTGCCGCGGACGGCCGTGGGCTGTCCGGGAACTTTGAGGTCTTGGCCACCTTCGCCCCTTTTCCCGTTTCTGGGAGGTGCCAGGGGGCCTCTGCCTCCAGCACTTTTATTCCTGCTCTCGTAGTGCATGGTCTAGAGCTGGGCGGGCGGTTTGTGTTCCCTTCGAGCGTGCCACCTCGGAGTCAAAAGATTGGCTGATCTGGAAGTGCTGGTGGTGCGACCACGTAAGTTTCCGCCTAAACGGCCCGGAGCCCTGGCCAGAGCCCCGAGGACCGAACGCACAGCTGGTGGCTGTGTACAAAGCTGGCAGGCTTACGCAGATTTTTAATTTTTACTTTCTGCGTGTGAAAATGTTTTGAAATCGCAGTGGGGATAGGAAGCAGGCTGCTGCAAGGTCCCCTCGGCCTCCCTGAGAGCATCGTCGGTCCCAGCGAGGACGAGGCGGATCGCCAGGAGGTCCACCCCGCCCGGACGTGGAGGGCGGGCCGGGCCGTCCAGTGGATGGCTGTGACTGGGGGTTGGCAAAAGCCGGGCAAATGCCAGCAATGTGTGCGTTATTTCTTAAAGCCCCAAACCTTGATCTACCCCTTCGGTTCTATGGGGAGAACTAGCGCAGCAGAGTTGTTTTTGAGGAAGTGAGGGTTTCGGCAGTCAGCACTGCTCTGCGCCGTCTTGATGTGGTTTGCAGCAGTAGGACGGTGTGATTTGTTCGCTCGCTCCGTGGTCCGGGAGCTCACTGAGCGCCGAGCCTCTGAAAGCTGCTCCGCCGCCCAGACGTGGGCTCGTTTTCTTTGGAAAAAGGAATTCACGGGGCTGGCCATTTTCTCCTTTAACTCTAGACGTTATCGGATACTGATTAGATTTTGTTTGGTGTTTTGTTCCACTGACTGTACTGCAAAAGCTGTTTCTTTAGATGATTGTTAGTTTCTTTATTTTTTATTTTAATTTTTTAAAAATATATTTTATTGATTATGCACTTACAGTTGTTCTATTCCCCCCTTCATTCCCCTCCACTCTGCACACCCCTCCCCCACCATTCCCCCTTTAGTTTATGACCGTGTCTCAAGTCCTTTAGATTGTATATTTCCCCTACTAGTCTTGCCCTCCCCCCCTATTTTCTACCTACCGTCTATGCTACTTATTCTCTGTACCTTCTCCCCCCTTCTCCATCTCCCACTCCCCTGTTGCTAACCCTCCATATGATCTTCATTTCTATGGTTTGCTCCTGATCTAGCTGTCCTCTTAGTTTGCTTTTGTTTTAGGTGTGGTTGTTAATAACTGTGAGTTTGCTGTCCTTTCACTGTTCATCTTTTTTTTTTTTTAAAGATTTTATTTCTTTATCTTTAGAGGGGAAGGGAAGGAGAGAGGGAGAGAAACATCAATGTATGGTTGCCTTTCATGCATCCCCTGCTGGGAACTGGCCTGCAGGGAACCGGCCTGCAACCCAGACATGTGCCCTGACTGGGAATCGAACCTGGATCGGGTGGTTCGCAGGCCCACAGTGTTCATCTTTTTTATCTTCTTTTTCTTAGATAAGTCCCTTTAACATTTCATATAATAAGGGCTTGATGATGATGAACTCCTTAAATTTGATCTTATCTGAGAAGCACTTTATCTGCCCTTCCATTCTAAATGAAAGCTCTGCTGGATAGAGCAATCTTGGTTGTAGGTCTTTGGATTTCATGACTTGGATTTTTATTTCAAGCAGTCATTGTATTGAATCAGAAAAGTAAATACTGATATGCTTTAAAACAAACTTAAACTAAAAAAGCCAAATACTTAATGCTAAAGTTTTATGGTCTCCGTTATTTAATCGTATGACAGTTTTTAAAAAATTTTATTGAATTTTCCATTACTATTTACTCCCTTACAACCCCTGCCCCCTGCCATCACCACCCTGTTTTCAGGCCAGTGAGTCCTTTTTCTTTTTTGTTCGATCCCCTCACTCCCCCTCCCCCAGCTGTCAGCCTCTCTCCACCTCTATTTTGCTCTTTGGATCACTTTGTGCATTAGATTCCACATGTGAGTGAGATCCTGTGGCACTTGTCTTTCTACAACTGGCTTATTTCATGTAGCACAATGTTTTCCAGGTCCATCCATGCTGTCGCAAAGGGTAAGATTTTCTTCTTTTTTATGACCGAGTAGTATTCCATTGTGTAACCGTCCCATAGTTGTTTTATCTACTCACCCGCTGATGGGCACTTGGGCTGCTTCCAGATCTTGGTGATTGTAAATAACACTGCAGTGAACACAGAGGTGCTTATGTTCTTTCAAATTAGCATCTTCGGTTCCATCAGATATGTTCCCAGAAGTAGAATCACTGGGTCAAAAGGCAGATCCATTTTTAATTTTGAGGTATCTCAAAATTAATTTAATTTTTTGAGGTATGTCCTTACTGCTTTCCACAGTGGCTGCGCCAGTCTGCATTCCCACCAACAGTGCCCTAGGGCCCCCTTTCCTCCCCGTTCTCCTGAACACTTGTTGTCTGTTGACCTGTTGATGCTGGAGTTCTCACAGGGGTGAGGTGATCTCATTGTGGTTTCAGTTTGCATTTCTCTCCTGATGAGTGACTTGAGCACCTTTTCATATGTATATGGGCCATCTCTATGTCCTCTTTGGAGAAGTGTCTATTCAGGTCCTTTGTCCATTTTTTAATTGGATTGTTTGTTTTTTTCAAACAATGCATTTGGGAGTTTTATAAGTTCTTTATAAATTTTGGATATTAACCCCTTATCAGATGTATCGGAGAAAATGGTCTCCCAGTCAGTGGGTTGTCTTTTTGCTTATTGATGGTTTCTGACAGTTAATTTTAAAAACACATTTTTATTCTAGGAAACTGAGAGTTTAAGTTGACTTTATGTTTTTGTACCTGTGTAATTTATGTCTCACACCCATGAAGTATATATAGTATTGATTATAAGCCCCTCTACCCTCATCCAGTTTCAATAGTCAACTCACAGCTCAGTTGTTGTATCTGTAGCCTGAAGCCCAAATGTCATTTGATTTTGACTATTAAATATTTCGCTGTGTTTATCTACATTCATCTTTTTAAGAAGATGAGTGGAAACACCACCATCACAAAGTTCCGTATTACCTTCAAATACCCACCCAATGTTAAAGTCTTCTCGATTATCTCAAATTTTTTAACAGTTTGAGTCAAGACCCAAGTACTGTTCATACATTGTGACTTGTTTTAGCCTATAGGTCCCCATCTGTCTTTTGTTCTCTCTTGGAATTTATTTGTTGCTGAAACTTGGTGATTTGTCCTGTGGAGTTATACATGGTCTGGATTTTTTTCTGTATTATGGTTTACACAGAATTTACTGTAAGTTTAATGTAGTTACATCTAAAGGTATAATCGGATTCAGGGTTGATTTTATTTCTGGTAAGAAGACTTCATAGGCGAATAGGCAGATAAGGGTTAATAGTCTTCTTGCTAGCAGCCCTTGATGCTCAGACTTAGAGTCATTATTTCATTAGGCATTGAAATGTGGATGTTTTAATTCTGTAATTTCATTTATTAGCTGGAATGCTTCTATAAGGAGACATTTCTCCTCCATACTTTTATTACCTTAAATTATGGTTCTTTTGGGAAAGGCAGGATAAATACTTAATTTCTTTCCATTATCTACTAGGTTAAAAAAATGAGCTGGCATCCTCTAGAAGTAGCCAGTGAATTGTGTGTATGTGTTTGTGTCATTGGGCACTCAAAGGTTTAAGCATATTGATATGGTTCAGTCCATTTTAGATGGTACCCTTATTGATTCTCAGGTTATCCCATTTTTGTCCAGTAGGAATCTGTTCATATTGGTGCCTAAGTCCTTTTTTTCTTTATTGTAAAATAATAATGATCGTGTTTAATAATGGCTCCTATAACATTTAGATACAACGCCAAGTCTCTGGTTGCTCTTCTTTCTGGTGTGACCGACAGCCGCAGGCTCCTCTGGGACATTTCGAGTCCCAGCCCTGTGCTCGTCCATTTCTCCGAATGGAAAGTCATGTTCAGTCACCCCAGTCTGGGCCCTGGGGTTGGTCGTTCATTCTCACCAGGTTGATCATTGTTTCCCAGTCTTTTCAGATCAAGGGTTACTGGTACTTCCAGTTGTGAAGCTGGAAGACAGAGTTCTATTTAACCTTCTTGATCTTACACCTGTATCTTTTTTTCTTCTAAGACAAATGTTCTGATTGTGATTACTCAGTGTTTTACCCCAAACTGTGCACACCTCAGTGTCAGGAGGACAATACAAACACCACTACCGGTGACCAATAAAAACTGCGTAGGGCTTTTGCATATTTATTAGGAATATGCAGTCAAAATACTGCGTTTGAAGTCACTTAGAATCGTTGCTCCGTGATTTTGCCACACTACTGGTTCTTCTGTTTTTTATTTTGCTTTCATGTTTAGGGCTTGCTGTTTAAAAATTTAATTTTGTTTTGTGATTATGTAAAATATGAAAAGACTTTTAAAAGCAAACATATAAAATAAAGTATTTTTTAAGAAGTCTTGCTTCTTTATTTTCTGCCCCTACCCGCAACCACCAATCTGTTCTCTATTTCTGTGAGTTCAGTTTTTGTTTGTTTTTCTGTTTTACAATTCCACATATCAGTGAGATCATTTGTC